CGTAGCATACGCTCTCTCGTGGGCCTCTTCGGCGTAGGAGACGAGCAGAAATTAAAAGAGGCTAGATCTTCGGCATACGATCGCTGCAGCATCATGAGCTCATTGTCTTCGGCAAAGTCTGAGCAGAGAGACAGGCAGTCTTCGTACCGAACTCGTACCTCAAAATCATGTAGTAGTATTAGTGAGAAACTGAGAGTTTGAATAGAGTTTTTTAAACTCTAAGTGAGCTAGCGCTCGTATCCTCTAACTTTTAGTCAGTGTGTGTGAGAGGGAGAGAAACTATATTTAGCTGTTACTGACCGCCGTCTCGAGTGTTGCTGAGTGAGGGAGAGAGAGAGAGAGATGGGCTATTCGGTCAGTGTCGTTTCTGCATAGAGACTCAATTAGTCAATCGGTCGTACTTGACGATATCATCATATATATCATTCTAGAGAAGAACGTTGTGGAGGACAGACGCTAGGTGCTTGCAGCTGGGAGAAATTGCGCAAATATAAGATGACCAAACTTATACAAATCACAAATTTGTACATACATATATTCCATATGGCAAATAAATATAAAGAATTACGAATATGTAAATACATCAACACACATACTCAAAACACTATCGACCTTTCCATTGAAATTTAAAGTTAAGTTTATTTATTAATTATATTTCATTTTATATTAAATGTATACATACATATATATTTTTTACAAGTTCGTAAAGCTACTCAAAAGTTTTCACCACATTTACCAAGATATATCTGTTTTATTTTTTTATATTTGAAATATTCTTGTTATCGGGAAATAATGTTCGTAAATACACATATCGTATCAGATTCTAATACAAGGTAAACTTTCTACACACATTTATATATATATATTTTAATTGTGAATCCCCTTTATCATATATATATATTTAATCGTGCCATACTTGGATTTAATGTTTTATCATTTCAGTATATTTTTGTTTTTGTTTTCCTTTTTGCAACTTTGCGTTTTGTGGTAATCTCAAAACTTTTTACAAAGCAAATCGAAAAGTGTTAATATGGTAAATATAGGTTGAGTAAATCAGATGGTGATTATTGGCTATATCTGGCTGGCTTAAATTATCATACAGTTAAGGACCTAAAAGCGAAAAAGTTTAACAAACAATTGTGGCTAATGTTAAAAAATAAAAAACTAAAGCAGAGAAACGAAAAATTGTTTAACTTTTTAATTTGAAGCGCCTTTCCCCTCCAACTACTTCGTATTGGATGTTCGTCAGCAGCTGCTCATTGTCCATCCATCCAATTAGATGGCCTGTTCCGGATGAAGCGTGTGAATCAAACAGAGATATATCAGCAGGGACTCCATTATAAACATGCACATAAAATAGACGTAACCCTAGAGCAGCTCCTCGTTGGCATCCACAAGCAGCGGGCGTGGCCGCTGCTCACGACGCCGTCGCGCATGCAATGCCGCCTGCTCGGCTTGATCCAGTGGTGGCTCCTCGTCGCGTTCGACTGCTCCCCCACCCTCTTGTGCCTGCGCCTGCTGTGCTTCCTCGGCCTCTTGGCGCGCCTTCAGCTCCTGAGCGGCAGCCGCTTGCTGTGCCTGCTGCTTCTTGCGGTGCTCATAGTTGACCAGGCGCTGACCCACCAGATACTTGTCCACCTTGATCGACAGATACAGCTTCTTCAGTTGCTTTATCTGAAAGAGCACAAAGCAAACGCTGCCCACAACAATAAAGCTAACTGGATAAACGAGTCTAGAGATGCCCAGCAGGGTGTACGGATCGGAGCAGAAGATTGGCATAATCGAATGGCCGATCACATATGGTATAGCCAGAGCTAGGCCAAATGTAGTCACCACTGGTACTGCTAGGTCGCGCATCACAAACTTCAAGTCGAAATCGCGCAGTCCATCCGTATAGGCGCGCTCCAAGGATCGCTTCAAATGCCAATCCGGTCCCATCAGTGTGAGTGCTATGGCGATCTTCGTGTACAGCACGCCCAGGGCCCAATCCTGCCACAAGAAGTGTATGGGCGTCTGGCGCCATTGCACGCGTAGCGGTATGACAACTACCAGCTCCAGAAGCAGGCCAAACAGCAGCGGTACCAGCACAAATATGCCCAAGAGAGTCAGCACAGGAAGAGCATATTGCAGTGCGACGCGCGCCCACTGCTTCACCTTGTTGACGATGGCGGCTCGTCCCTGTGGCAGCAGTGTAACAACTACAGCCACGCCACGGGACACAATCCAGCATAGATATCCTCCGATTTCGGCCGTGTACAGCTCATGGGGACGCAACAGACGTTCGTTTTTGCGTGCCGCCTCCGGATCTGCCACTGGCATGTCAACCGGGATTGGCGGAATAGCCTTGTCGCCCGGTTGACCCGTCCAGAGCATCATCAGACGGCGCCCTATGTAGACGGGAACAGTTAGTATGACCATGGCGGCGCACACGATCGACAAGCACATCAGCGAGAGCAGTGCACACAGGCGTAGAGTGAAGAATGTGGGCCGTTCGTAAGGCTGAAAACCGACCGGGACATCACGTTGCATGATCGCCTGATGGGCGGCGGCCAAATTGCGTGGTGGTGCTGGCTCTGGTATTGGAGGTGGCGGTGGTGGTGGCGGAGGTGCAGCACCAGCCCCAGCGCCGTCTTCACCTGGCTGAGCAGCCGCCTCGCCGTCCTCACCTGCTTGGGGCTCCGGTGCGGGCAGCAAATAGCTGCGTATGCCAAGCAGCCAGGCCACAGCCGTACACCAGATACGTAGTAGTCCCTTCAACCAAATGCGCGTTTGTGTTTGCTCGAAGAATCCGGGCAGCACAATCTATTGTGAATAAGATGTCATTAGCATGATAAACTATGTGAATATGTATGGACGTACCTGAAGCAAGAGCAGCTGCAAGCTCAGATCATTCACCTCCGAGTCGCCGCTCAGGGCATACGGCAAGAAATTGGGCCAGACGAACTGTAGAATACGTATGGGCAGCCAGAGCATGAGCAGCACGGCGAAGCCAAAGATCATGGCCGAGGCAACCAGGCGGCGTATGTGACGCACAATGGGCACATGAATCATTTCTTGAATGGGACTAAAGTCGGGATCGTTGACATTGCGGAAGATCCAAAGGACACCGGGACGCAGCACCTCGCGCAGCAGCGATATGAAGGCGGCAAAGTAATAGACATACACCATGCCAAACATCCAGTGGACAAAGAGAGATGTGCCCGGAGCGGCCTTGAAGCTGGCCTTGCGATCCTTGATGCTGGCATCGAGCAACGGCAGCGAGCAAATATCCAGCCACCAGCCACAGATGAGAGGCAGCACGCCGATCTCCACCACGGACAGCAACGATACCTTCACCACAATGTAGCACAGGCCAATGAACCAGCAGATCCGACGCAGCCGAAAGACGCGTGCAAAGAAGTGAAGCACGACCAGGGTCAGTCCGATGCAACAGTAGCCAAACAACGTGGTGATCAGTCCATGGAAATGCAGCAATGGCTTCTCGGGCTGCAACAAATCCATGGAGCTTAGTATAAAGTTTCCCACGCAATACGGACAAAAGGCAAACGTAAAGATGAACATGGTATTTAGCGAGATTATCCAAAAGACGTGCTCCAAGAAAACAAGTGAACCATCCAGGCCAAGTAAACGTTCCCAAGTTAGCTCTTCTGCGGCCCGATCCCATTCCATTGGATTCCAGTTTTGCTCATCATTGTCGGCATCTGCAGCAGCGATGCCCCCAGCGGCCGCGGCTCCTGCAGCAGGCTCCGCTGCTGGTTGGGCTCCGTCGCCCTCGTTGTCAGCCGGATTGGCCACAGCTGGTGCGGCATTGTCCATGGGCACATCCTGCGGCGCATTGCCATTGTTGTTGTCATCTTGAGCGACATCTGGAGCAAGGGCCGCAGCGACGGCGGCGGCAGCAGCTGCAGCTGGGACTGCTGCTGCTGCTGGTGCCTCGTCGCGCTCAAGCCAATCAGGTCCACCGCCATGAAGAATTTGCTCACGCAACCAAACCAGGCCAATAAAAGACAATAGTGTACAAGTTACCACAAAGCATCCACGAAAAGCATCCGCAGCCAGATTCTCTATGGAGAAGATGTCGAACGGAAGCGAGAGAATCATATCAAAAGAACTAGCCCGGAACAAATAGCGATAGGTTCGATATGCCGATAGTGGAACCACACCAAACCAGGCCATGCCCACCAGGGAGTAGTGCAGCCAGCAGCGTGCGCCCTCCAAGACGGCGGACATCAAACCCATCAGGACATCACGCAATGGTAAGACACGCGGCATATCCGGTGCGTAGATGGGCTGGAAGCTGAAGCGGTAGCCGCATAGCTCGCAGTATTCCTTGTGCGAGTAACGCATCCATTGCATTAGACAATCCTGGTGAATATACTTGATGCTGCCAGTGCAGATGCATGGATAAAAGAGCGGTCTATCTGGCAATGCCTCGCAGCGGCAGACGCGACATATGTCGCCCTGCGACAGGTCATCCATTGTTGTACGTCTGGGTATGCACTACTGTTCGTCGTCTGCTGATTCCACCTTTCTATGGCTATTTGCCATTTGCGCAGTTCGAGTGGCACTCACTAATTGCACTCAGAATCCGATTACCGTGTGTTCTCTTTCTTGAATGCCCAATTAGCACCTGAACGCGTTGGGAAAACTTGCAAGCGAACCGTCGAGGTGGAACTAACACTTAAAATTTGATTTCAGTATGCAATCAAATCAATTGAACTTTTGATATTACAATTTTTATGCCTGACGCGAATACGTGTTACTGTGTGAGTCTCTGCGAATGTATGTGTGTTGGTATTTTAAAAAGTTTGTACCTTTAAGGTATTGCTTTTCTTAAATACTTTGGTATTTTATTAATTTATTTTGAGGTCTTTTCAATTGCACACTAACAATGTGTACTGACTGCTTCACAAAGCTTTGCAAATGTGACTATCGAATTTATTGTACAAAGCTAATGTGATCTTTTTTAACAAAGAATTCCATAATGTCAAAACATAAATAACAATCTTTTCTTTTTCGAAAATTTGCTTTGTTCATGTACATGATGTTTCGTGCATTGCTTCCAGAAATGTTAGAGTATTAAAGTTGCGGTAATTCCAATACAATTACCATTGCCATACTAAACTTTTAGTATTTTAAAATTGGTTTCTTGTGGTCACACTGCGGTAGGTAATAAAAACAAAACAGCTGCTTCGAATGTGTTGGTAACGCTGAGAATTCCAACTGTCACACAATCTCGTAACTTTGTAATTACGAAAAAAAAAAAATTCAAAATGCAAAGACAAATGGTAAATCTGCTTGAAAATGTGGCACGACAGATGCGCAATAATCAACGCGCATTCTCAGTGACGCCGAAATGTAGAGAAATCTTCAAAGTCCAAAGCCCCGAAGAGTTTGACAAGAAGGTGAAGAACAGCCAGGAGCCCGTTATAGTGGATTTCTTCGCAACGTAAGTGCAGAGCATAATATATTCTACTTCAGTGTTTGATATGATCTTCCGTTTCAGTTGGTGCAATCCCTGCAAGCTCTTGACGCCGCGCATCGAGAGCATTGTGGGCGAGCAGGCAGGCTCCATAAAACTGGCCAAAGTTGACATCGATGAGCACAGTGAGTTAGCACTGGACTACGATGTGGGTGCTGTGCCCGTTCTTGTGATCATGCAAAATGGAAAGGAAGTACAGCGCATGGTGGGGCTGCAGGACGAGGACAAAATACGCGCCTGGGTGGCCACAGCGGTGAAAAACGCAAAGCAATAGGAGTCCAGACCGAAACATCAGACATGTTTTTAAGCTTTAAATTCTTTTTACTCAATCTGGGATTTTCGAAATAAATGTTATTATTCGTTGCAAACAAATTAAACTACATCTAACTTAATAGCTTAAATCGAGTACCAGCCCGGCGTGCCAGGTCGCTTCTTGTTGCGATCCAAAAACCTGCGAAAGCCAGCCTTCGACTCATCCAGTGACTTTTCCTCCTTTTCCTGCTTCTCTGCTTTATTTACAAATATATCCGGAAAGGTAAACGCTTCAGTTTTTGGCTGAAAAAAAGAAGCAATTGTATCATGCCCTGCAGTAAAGTTTCCAAAAAATCCACTCACCATGGTTACATAAGCATATTTGACATCGTCTTTCTTTGTCACATAGCCGTAGGTTTGATCACGTTTAGTCTCACCCAACGCGATTCGTGTACGGACATCTACTACGGGCAGTTTGTAAATCTTTTCTAAATAGTTTTTAACATCATACTTGGTCATCTCCGTGGACACAGCGAAGGTAACAACATTAGCCGGCTGCTCTTCTGTTGGTCGTACTAGTTTCATCCAAAAGTTCGGCAGGAATACGCGCAATTGTGGATTGCCGCGTTGATAAATTGGATACCACCGCGTGGACATAGTTCAACTTTTATGTTGTAATTCAAAACAGAAAATAAAATTACAATTCAGTGGCAAACGGCTCTCAGCTGTTTTTCCTGGAAAATGTATCAACCTGCACAGCAGAAATGTACTAAAAAATCCTACACACGTGTTGAGCACAGCTGATTTGGCAACACTAACAAAACGATTTGAAAGTGTTTTTATTTTGACATGGTCAAGTTGAAAAAGACGGGAGCGCAGCCACCTAAAAAGCCACTCAGCCGCAAGGAACTGCGCAAGCTAAAGCAGGAGACGAAAAAAAATAACAAGAGGATCTACCATGCGGACAAGGTAAATGGCGCCCAACGTGTAGCCGAGGCGGCAGCGGCTGCGGCATTAGCAGCGAGTAAAACTGGCAAGAAAAAGAAAAAACCCAAAAAGAAGCAGCTAAAACCAGAAGAAATTTCTCGGGAAGAGCTGCTGGCCGGCGAAGTAGACGAGGATGATGATGAATCAATTGGCTCGGATTTCAGTGATGCGGAAGTGGATGCTCGCTTGCCAGCAGCTCGCAAAGTAGAGGTATACGACCTAGTAAGCAAGAAGCCTAAAAAGCACGCGGGCATCCAGCGGCAGGACGAGGTTGAAGTACGGAATCGAGAGTTGCGTCAACAAAAAGAGCTGCTCAGCAAATCGCGGAAGCAGCGAATGAAGCAATTGAAGCTAGAGAATGAAGAGGAGGATAAGGAAATTGCCAAGCTTGAGAAAAAACTGAAGCTCAATAAGACCAAGGACAAGAATCGTTCGGTACGCAAAATGTTCAACGATGGATTGGACTATTTGCTTGATTTCGTGTTGGACGACGAGGAAGAGAAGCAGAAATGGGAGGAGAAACAACGTCGAAAGAAGGAGCTTAAGGAACAGCAGGCGAAGGAAGAAGCAGGTATGTGGAGCGACGAAGAAGATGAGCCAATGGATATGCCAGACGAGGATAGCGAAATGGAGGAAGATGATGCCGATGAGCCGTTGACGGATGAAGATGAAGTGGAGGAGGACGCAGAAGACTTAGAATCAAATAGTGATAACGAACAGGATACAGGAACGAAAGAGACAAAATGTATTTATAAAAGAATTTTGATTTTTTTTCTAAATCAATTAATTATGTTAATTTTTCAGACAAGGAAGACATTTACGGTCGTCGCCTTGATGCCGAGGGCAACATTGTACCTGATACTGGAGAGGTGGAGGCTAAGGTGACCGGGCAGAAATATATACCTCCACATCAACGCGCGCTACTCGCCGCCAGCGAGGGCTCCAGCGCCCAACAGGCGGAGCAACTGGCACGCCTGCAGAAACAATGCAAGGGTTTGCTCAACCGTCTGTCCGAGGCGAACCTTCACAAGATTTCTAGTGGCATCGAAACGTTATACATGAAGAACTCCCGCTACAACATGAATGAAACGCTGACAAGACTGCTGCAGGAGGCATTGCTTGGTCGATCACGTGCCAACGAGCGCATGGTGCAGGAGCACATGGTGTTGCTAGCATTTCTGCATGCTCACATTGGCAGCGAGATCGGTGCGCATTTTTTGCAAACTTTCGTCGAACAATTCGATGGCTTTGTGAAGGAGATTGACACATTGGAGGTGGAGGATAAGCGTCTAAATAATTTGGTGCTCGTCCTCTGCTACATGTACATCTTTAAGATCTACGAGCAGCGCTTGCTACTGGAGCTGATTGCTCGCCTTGCGGGTAGACTGTGTGAGAAGTCGGTTGAGTGTCTGCTCCTGATCTTCCAAACCGTTGGATTTAGGTTACGAAAAGACGATCCATTGGCCTTTAAGAACATGATGCAGAACGTGCAGTCGCAAATCGCGTCATCGCCATTGGAGCTAAAGGAGAATCCTCGCTTACGCTTTATGGTTGACATTCTCAATGCCGTGAAGAACAACAACATGAGCAAGTTGCCTCAGTATGATCCTGAGCTAGCAGAGACGCTTCGAAAGCGCCTCAAGGCAATGCTACGCAATGATCGTTATGTGGTCACACTGAATATCACCCTGGAGGATCTACTGCGTGCCGATAAGCTTGGCAAATGGTGGATAGTTGGATCAGCTTGGGCGGGAAATTTGGCCGAAATGGGCCCGGCACAAGCGGAGCAAGAGAAGCAACAACAGCAAGCACGAGGGGAGCGTTACTCGGAAAAGCTACTGCAGCTGGCCAAGAAACAGCATATGAACACAGCCGAGCGTCGCAGCATCTTCTGTATTATCATGAGCGCCGCCGACTATGTGGATGCATTCGAAAAGATCCTACATTTATCCCTGAAAGATCAGCGAACCGTTGCCTATGTGATCATACACTGTGCGCTGAATGAGCGACATGCGAATCCCTACTATGCCCACCTCGCACTGAAATTCTGCCAATACAATCGCAAGTTTCAGCTGGCCTTTCAGTTCGCCAGTTGGGATCGCATCAATGACATTGAATCCCTTTCAAAAATTCAGATACGCAACTTCGCCAGCTTCCTGCAGCAGCTGATCCTTTCGTCTGGCCTGCAGCTGTCCGTACTAAAAGTTGTGGACTTTATGCAGCTGCATAAACTTAGTTTTTATTTTATGCGCGAAATCATGACGCGGCTGCTGCTGTCCAGCGAGGAGAGTCAACTCTACCAGGCATTCGAGCGAATAACCAAGAACTCGAAGCTGCAGCAGTTCAAGCAGAGTATTCGCTTATTCATGCAGCACTTTATGCTCGAGAAGCTGGAGGATCACAAGGAGGAGCAGCAACAGCTTCTGCGACAGCGCATCGAGCACCTGGACAAGCTATTGGCTTATGTAGATTTGTAAATTACAACATTTTGCCTAATGTTTATTAAACTCTAATAATTAACAACGCATTTAACTTATTCTATTGAAACTATAAACTAACGATTAGTCGAAACTTTGTAACAAGTTGCGAGCTCGCTGATATCGTACGGAATCAACGATTTGCTGTCGCTCCGCCTCTTCGCTGAGCTCCTCACACTGTTTGTCCATCTCCTGTATGGCGTCCTCGGCCAATTTGATGATGGTTGCTTTCGCGGCGCCTTTAGAGCCCGCCAGATACTCCAAGGCGATGGGCCATATATCGGCACTCAGTTTTTTCTCATTGAAGGCGGTTTGCTGTATGGAAATCTGTCGCAGCTTCTCAAATTTCCAATCTTGTCGACTGTCCCGCCACTTCCTAAGATACTCTTCATTACGTTTGCTTTCCTTATCGGCATTCTGGTCTTTTTGCTCCTCTAGCCGTTGCAAGTGTTTTTGTTTTTTCTTCTGTCGTACCGTTACAATGGCATTTGAATTCTCTGGCTTAGCTGCCTGCTCCAGCTGGTCTGCTGTGGGCATGTCATCCAGCTCCTCATCTTCTACGGCGTCTTCTTCAGGCTCTTCTGTTTGCTTACTACGTTTTTCCTTGATGGCGTCTTGGTCTGATTGTTGTCTGCGCTTGGCAGCTTTGTCTGTAAATAAGGATAGGTAAATTAAAACATATATATACATATGTATATATCGAGTTTCATACTTTTTTTGGCCTGTTTTTCTTCTTTTTGAGTTCCTGCCGCTACCTGATCCTCCACAATTAAACTTTTGTTGGCCACCTCGTCGTCACTCGGGACTGCCTGAGTTTCATGTTTGCGTTTTTTGGCTTTACGCTTTTGCTTTTTCATTTCGAGTTCCGTTCGTGCCATATTTGACTGTTTGATTTGTTTTCCGAATAAATTTAAATTATTATTCTCGTTTCATGTGCTCTCCCATGTTTCAGCACCCACAACTGCGCACAGCCAACTTCACGTGGGCAAATTAGTTGCGCGCAGCCAACTTCACTGCGCTCAAAATTGCGCGCAACAAGAAATGCGCTGACCACAAATGTTTAGCTGATTTGTTTGGAAACAACATTTTAATCTTATCGCGTCGCGGCAGGCGTACGAAGTACGCCAGTGATAGCTGATGAGGCAGTCATAAACACGACACATATCAAAATGCTGCTATTGGAGCTAAAAATTCTAACGCTGAACATATGGTATGTTTTTCTCAACTTGGTCACGCGGCCAAAACCGTTTCGCCTTGCCTTGTCTCGCCTAAATCCAATTATAATTTGCAATTGCATACACTTCAGGGGCATCCCACTTGTCTCCAGCAACCGCGCGCCACGTATCGAGGCCATCGGCAAGGAACTGAGCAGCGGTCAGTATGACATAGTGTCCTTGCAGGAAGTCTGGTCACAGCATGACAGCGAGCAACTCCAGCAGAGCACGGCCAGTGTCCTGCCCTATTCCCATTACTTTCACAGTGGTGTCATGGGCGCAGGCCTGCTGGTGCTCTCCAAGTATCCAATTCTCGGTACGCTATTCCATGCCTGGTCTGTCAACGGCTACTTCCATCGCATACAGCACGCCGATTGGTTTGGCGGAAAGGGCGTAGGCCTTTGTCGCATCCTGGTCAAGGATCAAATCATTCATCTGTACAACGCCCATTTGCATGCCGAATACGACAACGACAACGATGAATACAAAACGCATCGTGTGATACAGGCATTCGACACGGCCCAATTCATAGAAGCTACGCGCGGTACCTCGGTGCTCCAGATACTGGCTGGTGATCTCAATACTCAACCTCAGGACATTACTTATAAGGTGCTGCTGCTCACCTCGAAGATGACAGACAGCTGTGTCTCCGACTCGTTTCGGACCAATGAGTGCAGCAGGAACTCGTACACATCGGCAAGTGCGCTGGCCAAGAATCCCTTGGGCATACGGATCGATCATATTTTCGTGAGGGGCGCTGATAATATAAAGGCAGATATAATTGAATATACACTACCATTCCCAGAGCGTGTGCCTGGACAGAAGTTCAGTTACTCGGATCATGAAGCTGTGCTGGCTAAGCTAAGACTTACCCGTCTGCCAACGTCGTCTGGACGCAAAACAGCAGCAGTCGGAAATTCTGTAAATACGGAAGATGTTGAGTGCAATATAGTTGAAGAAGTTTGCCCGGCAGATGATGGTGGTGCAATAAGAGGAACTGAAGCAGTCAATGGCAATGGCTGCACAGCTAATGCCCAATCCTTGCCTGCTGCTCGCACAGCAGCGTTGAATGAGGCACTGGCTCTATGCGAAGCTTCCCTCTTGCAGTTGAATACTGATCGTCTATTATATTATAGTGCAGCGACTGTTCTATTTGTAATCCTTGTACTCCTGATTGAATTTGATCCTCCGGTTGGACTTCAGACTATTTATGTACTGCTAAAATTTATCGTATTTGGCGTCATATTATTCTGTCTGTTTATGGCATCAATTTGGAACTACATGGAACGCAATGGAGTGCTGCAAGGCAAGAAGTCCATGGAGGTGATGCTGCTGCATGCCCAGAAATATGAATATTTTTATTGATCCGCATGTCAATTATCCATGAACTGTAACAGATAAGAAGCTCAATAAGCATTTATATATTTATACGTCTCGCTTAGATAAAAAGAAAAAATTTAGGAATTTTATGCAATAAACTGGTCTCTATCTCTTTTTAAAATTCAAGTAAAATATTAAACGTTAAAAGAAATTGGTTGATCTATCGAAAAGGATATCGTTATCGGTGATTTGTCGATAGCATTGCGAGTGGCCACAGCAACAGCTCCCGTTCCAATAAAAAAAGAACATTTTACCAATAATAAATGAAAATTTATGTAAAAACTGTTGCGATTTTCACTAAAAGTGTCTTTTGTTGGATATTTATTGGGTAAATAAAACTCGAGCTGTTTTTTGGCAACCAACAGCGCTCACAAGGGATACACACTCCTCTGGGCCTGCGGCTGAGTCACAAAGACCAAAACAAAGGCAGACAACAAAGACAATGAACAAGCTGCCAGGTGCCAACTTGGAGTTCGTGCGCGAGGACGACTTTGTCGAGTACTATATATTTCCCAAGCTAGATGACATTGATGAAAAAGCAAGTGATGAGCAAGTGCGTCAGCAGCTAGAGCAAGTGCGTGCGGACTGCATGTCCATTGTGGAGAAGAAAGTGGCGGAACGCTGTTATATATGGAACAAGGATGAATTTCAGCTGCAAGTGCGCACGGGCAGTGCCGAGGAACGGCTGCTGAACGAGGAAGACAACAAGCAGGAGGAGGAGGAAGAGCCCGAGGGTATGTGAATATTATTAATGCTGATCTATATTTAGCTATAGCAAATTTCACTCGTTTTTAGGTATTCTTCCGCCCCATTTGCACGGCGTCACGCATTATGGCGACAATATTGGCGACGAGTGGTTCATTGTCTATCTCTTGAGCGAATTGACCCGCTCGCGACCGGACTGCATAGGGCGCGTCTTCGATGGCGACGGCGAGTTTCTGCTTATCGAGGCAGCCGATGTGCTGCCCGACTGGGCGAGTCCCGAGACGTGTGAGCAACGCGTCTACCTTGTCAATGGCGGGCTGCAGCTGTTGCAGAATGCATCCAACACCAGCGACAGCAAACGAATGCCCATGGCTAAAGCAGTGCAGCGCATTCGTCTAAATCCCACTCTCTACCGCTGTTCGCGTGACATTCAGAACTGCATTGAGGCACGTCTACAAGAATTTCAGCCAGCAAAGCCTCACGCATCCATACATCGGCAAATAGTTCAGCTGCCCCAGAATGCGGCACAATTACTTAAGCAACGACCTGGTCTAGTCGCGTCCGCTGTACGCGCCTTCTGTGAAAGAGATGCAATCGACTCAAAGGCATTGCGTAGCATGCGCTACTTTCCACCTGAAACGCCACGGAAGCGCACAAATGTCGCCTTCACTCGCTATCTGTATGCCATGATAATGCATAGTCAATATACACCGGAGCGCCGACTGGGTTGGCAATTGACGGACGCCGTTGCGAATCCAGAGTGCTACAAGGAACAGCTGTTGGGCGTAAAGCTGGCCAGCGGCTTGGAAATACTTGCCAGCCAGGCGAAACGGGCTGGCGACCAGCTGGACGACAAATCACCTGCCTGGCGTGCATATCTGCGCAGTTTGCAAGGCAAGGGCTACTTCCATGACAACATCGAGGGCAGTGCGGAGTATGAACGTCTGTTGGCCACAGCCAAGGAGTACTTTAAGTGCAACCAGGAACGCTTTCGCACAGCGCCGTTGGTGGGCGCCGAAATAGTGGATATGCTGTTGCATCCTGCCGAAGGCAGCGCCGCGGAGCTCCTTCGGGACGAAGAGAATAATCTGCTGCCCAGCGATTCGGATGATTGGCTGAACATCACTGCCGAGGATCTGGATGCAATGCTGCAGCAACGCTATGGCCCACAAAAGCTATACAATCCCAACGGCGACATGAATGCAGAGGAATTCACAAAGCATCTGTCTCAGTTCTTAGACAGGCAATCCAACTTTGAAGGTATTGAAGGGCCGGGTGAAGCCGTTGAAGAGCTCGACTCAGACGACGACGAGCCGCCGGCGCCAGCAAGTGCGACCAGCAGCAATGCAAAGGTGAAAAAGAACGCTTCGATGAGGAAGGCTTGCAAGCGCAACTCCTTGATTCAATCTGATGAACAGGACAGCACCCATGTGCGCAATTTTCTGGACTTTGTGATACCCGAGGACAACTGGGACTCCACTTCCGAGATGAGTGACTATGCGGACGAGGAGGATATTGAGCGTAACTTCGATGAGTTGTCCAATGCCAGCGGTGGCGGTGACGCCAACTATCGATTGGATCGTAATATCAAGGCGTACATGGAGCAAATGGATCGGGAACTGGCTCAAACAACCATTGGCAAGTCGTTCCATGCCAAGAGTAGCACAGCTACTAACTCAACGGAGCAGCACCATACTGCGGAGGATGATTTCGATGACATTGAGGACTTCGAGCCCATAAATATTAACGTGAACACGCTGCGCAACATGATGGATAGCTATAAATTACAAATGGGCGGCGCAGGTCCCGTGTCCAATTTATTTAATGCCATGGGCGTGGGCATGTCGGCAGCGGCAACAGATGAGAAGGCCAAGGATCTATCAGAGTCGGCTGTCTAAGGCACAAACAGGAACTTATCAACTAGATATTAAGATTACAATCACATTTAAATTCGAATTATACATCTATATATAATATACATATAAATATCTGTGTATGAGTGCTATTGTTTTTATTATGATGAGCAACGAAACAGGTAGGTTTAACGCTAATCCTTGGAGGCAGGCACAAAGTTCCCATAGTCCCGCCTGACCTGCATGGGCGAACCGCCTTGCTGTGACTCATTGCGGCTTCTATGCTGATAGTTGCGCTCCGAGGATCTGTTTCCTCCGTCGCCGTCACCTCGGTCTCTGCGTGGATACGATTCATATCTGTTGCGTCGGTGATCTATAGATGGCACTGGTTAGTGAATTTCGATTTTCTATATATCTAATTTGTTTACCTCTGCGATCTTTGTTGCTGTTGTGGCTGTTGTGATTGTTGTAACTGTAACCACGTCTCTGCCATCCACGAGCGCCGCCTCCTCGACGCTGTTCGCCATTATGATTGTATAGGCTGAAAAAGGGGCCACCTCCAAGACCAGGTGAACTCCTACCACCTAACCAATTCTCTATTACTGGCGGATCCGACACCGGCTTAGCGCAATGCGCCATAAATTCGGCATCATCTTCTGTGTAGCGTGCACCGAACTCTTCCTCGCATTCTTCTAAAAAGCTAATATCTTTGTCGGAGAGTCTGTTGATTTTACGATTTGGATCAACCATTTTTGAAAACGTTTGTTGTTGCTTAGTGCTTAGTATGCTGATCGCAGAGCAAGCCAAAAACTCGAGAAGTATTAACTAGGGCTTGGCAATCAGCAGTCAGCAGTCCTATAGATTCAAGATTAATTTTTGAGAGACTAAGCACAGTGACTATTTCTTTGAATAATTTATAATTAGTTCAACTATCTAGGTGTTGCCGGAATACCTAATGACTTAACCTGGTCACACTTCTAAATCCACCTTATGTCCGCTGTTGCTTTGCTCACAATAAACATGAGCAGCATACAAAGCGCAACGGAATATCGCTAATGAAAATAAAATGAGATATAAAAATATCGTGAAGCCTATCGTAGCCTATCGATATATTAGTTAGGCACGGAATCAGTATTCTAAGTGGAATGCGGGAGTGTTTTGAGTAAAGTGTAGCTATTTACAGCGATTGTAAATACTTATAAATGTTAGTTAAGCTTAACGCTCGCACTAATAATAGAAGCGCTGGACATGCCACTGCATCGCAGCCATAGAACTACGAGAGCCACAAGCATTAGCACGCGGGTCAACTGCCACAACCAACGTGCGCATCTTCAGAGCTGGCCATGGAGCAAAAGTCATCACTATCCGTGCGATGGCTGCGGCGTTATCGTGTCTGCTTTGTAATATTACTTTTAATTGTTGCCATCCAACTATTTCTGGCCTACAAATCGGTTGAGCTTGATTTGGCGGGCGCACTGCGCACGCATCGTGATGCTCGGGAGGCGGAAGAGCCGCCACCAGAGCCCGTTGCTCCGCCAGCTCCTCTGCAGGCTGGGACTAAGAACTTACGCATAACTTCTAAGGAACTGGGTTTCGAGCCCGAATGTGATATCAATGCCAAGGAAGCAATATCGGCACTCCAGCGTGCCAAGACGAAAGACTGCCGCCAACATATCGCCAGCATAGCCTGTGCCATTCAAGCCGGACGCTTCTATGCGACCCATCTTCAGAGCAGCTGTCCGGCAGGCAACCATAGAGCCAATGTATCACTGGGTTGCTATCGCGACGAGAAGGATTCACGCCTGCTGGGCGGTTACTTTACCAGCTTCAAGACGTCCAATTCACCGGGCAGTTGTGTGGAGCTCTGCCTGCAGTCCGGCTACCCGTATGCGGGTGTGCAATACGCCCGCGAATGCTTCTGCGGCTTCGACACGCCGCCCAGCTCCGCCAAACTAGCCGACTCCAGTTGCAATATGAAATGCATAGGCAATGCCAAAGAAATCTGTGGCGGCATCTATGCCATGAATGTCTATGAAACGGGCATTGCCAGTAAGTGAAATGACTTATTCATCTAATAGTATATCTTTGACTTATACAATATCCTAATATCCTAATCCTTTGCAGAATTTACGCCACAATTGGCAGCCAGCACTCCAGCGCCGGGGCAAGAACCGCAAGCCGTTCGCATTGCATTTCTGCTGACATTGAACGGTCGCGCCCTTCGCCAGGTCCACCGACTGCTGCGCGCTTTATATGCGCCCCAGCACATTTACTACATACACGTGGATGCGGTGAGTGGTCGAGCAAAGCGAAGGCGGTGCGGAGGTAAAGCAATGCCACCGGATTTCGTAATTAAAGCCAGTTCAACAATTTGTGTTAATTACGCGAAATTTAACGCCTCGCAGCTGTGGCAGCGAAATCGGTTGTAGAATTTGAGTCTGAATGAGCGAGTATATGTATGATATACAAGATATAGGGTAATATGATAAGCGTGATATAAGGTAGTAGAGAATACATACAGTGGCGCTCTGCTGAATATGTATACAATGTCTTTATATAATAGATATTAACTTAAAGCCTTATAAACTTGATTTATAGCTATCTTAGAAGTAATTCTAGAACTCATATTGTGTGACTTAGAATAACTCTCAAATGCATTTACAAACTTCCACTAAGACTCATTTCATCTCCACAGCGTCAGGATTATCTCTATCGCAAATTGCTGGAGCTGGAGCCAAAGTTTCCCAATATACGTCTAGCTCGGAAGCGTTTCTCGACAATTTGGGGCGGCGCCTCGCTGTTGACCATGCTGCTGCAGTGCATGCAGGATTTGCTGCAGTCCAGCTGGGAATGGGATTTCGTCATCAATTTGAGCGAAAGTGATTTTCCTGTGAAGACGCTGGACAAGCTGGTTGAATTTTTGAGCGCCAATCGTGGTCGTAACTTTGTCAAAGGCCATGGCCGTGAGACGCAGCGCTTCATACAGAAGCAGGGCCTGGACAAGACGTTCGTGGAATGCGATACACACATGTGGCGCATTGGTGATCGCAAGCTGCCAGCCGGAATACAGGTGGATGGTGGCAGCGACTGGGTGGCGCTATCCCGTCCATTTGTTAACTATGTAACGCACCCGGCAATAGATGACGAGCTGCTGCAGGCATTGCTGCACTTGTTCCGGCACACCCTGCTGCCCGCCGAATCCTTCTTCCACACGGTGCTGCGCAACACGCAGCATTGCGGTACCTATGTGGACAACAATCTGCATGTGACCAACTGGAAACGCAAGCAGGGCTGCAAGTGCCAGTACAAGCACGTGGTGGACTGGTGCGGCTGCAGTCCGAATGACTTCAAGCCTGAAGACTGGCCGCGGCTGCAATCCACTGCGTCGAAGTCACTGTTCTTCGCGCGCAAATTCGAGCCGATTATCAATCAGGCGGTGCTGCTGCAGCTGGAGGAGTGGCTCTTTGGGCCCTACACCAGCGAGTATGTGAATCTACGTGGCTACTGGCAGTCGCTCTACCACCACGAGGATGTTCACGGCGCTGGCGATGATCTGGCGCGCACAGTTGGCGACAGCCTAATGCGCCTGTCGGCGCAACAGTTCAAGCTGGATGCAGTGCAGCTGCTGGAGCTAACACACTACCTGCATCGCGATCAGTACAAGGGATTCCTAGTGCGCTACAGCGCTCTGGCAAGGAACAGTTCCAAGGAGCTGCAGCTGGAGTCGCGTGTGCGGCCGGTGCAGCACGGCAAAGTGGCGAAAAATTCACGTGTTACCAAGCGCCTGCGCAACTTTGAGGTCTCCACGGACTTCGACCAGAAGGAGCAGGTGGCGCGTAACTTCGCCAAGCTGTTGGGACCACACAGCGATCTTATGCTGAGCTATACATATCAGGGAGTCGCTGGCTCACAGGACACATCGCATTCGTACAATTTGACGCTGATCTGGCTGGATCCATTCGATCGACTGCAAGACTTCAATGAGCTGCATGTGGAGGACTCTCAAGTCGATGTTATTAACTACTCCAAAACGCTGCTCAAGCGGCCGCTTACGCCCGGCATCTGGACAGCCAAGCTAATTGGACGCACCTCCATCTATGCGCAGCTCAAGTTTCTAGTCGCTCCACTGGCCTACGCCAACGGTGAGCCCATTCATACTGCAGCGGCTGCACGTGCTCAGAACGGTGGTCAAGCTGTGTCGCTGCCCGATAACTTTGAGATGCCCGCGGAGTGGCAGCAGCATCTGCCTAGCGAGAACGAAGTCAAGACCCTACTCGAAGAGGCATCGGCTCATGCTGAACTCATTGGTCAGCCTTTGTACAGCCGGATCGATGATTTGGTTGGCAAATTCTTTCTACTACGCGAAACCTGCATTGGGGACGGATCTAGCGTGCTGCCGGAGCTGCCGCTATGTCGAGACACCGCCTGGAGCTCGCTGGCTCCGGACCCCAAGAGCGAGATGTAGTCGCTGCTCAAGCACCGATAGATAGATTGGGCCAGACAGGCCGTCTTAGAGTCATTTGTTATAGCCATTTTCGTAAACGCAGCCATTGATGAAGTTTTTTTTTTTTACCATTTGTTATTCATATTGTTTTTGTACATAGTTGTGAATGTCTCTCGCTCCGTGTGTTTTTTAACCATCTCGTATGAATACTTAATAATCATATTTTCGACCTTTTAGATCCAATATTATGCTCAACGCACACAGAACTCAGATTAATTGAAAGTTAACTCGACCCTTGCATAAGCCTCGATACACGATTTTTATTTAGTTTTAGATTCCAATGTTAATTTTATGCACCTGAGCTTAAACTTGAGAGGAAACGCGATTTCTATTAGGAAATCTTATTATTATACTGCAATCTGTAGAGTTTCAAATAGATCTGTATATATATCAACAAATTTAACTAGATAGAATACCAACAATTACCTTATGTACAGAATCGTCCATTATGATAATGAGCTTATGCAAGAGCATATTAACTTTCGATTTCGTCACCTTAATCTTAAGTGTTTTGCCTTCAATCTTCTGCACACTATTCAAACTCTTTTCAATTCAGATTTAACTCAAATCTTTGCTTCTTTTATAATGTTGTGATATGTGTAAGATGGGAATGAGTTTGGGGACTTGCATCTTGAATGCTCGCAAGTTTTTAATGAGTATTACAAACATTATTATTGTTAGCGTTTAAGTAACTATGCGATGCAATTGTAACACTGGACATATTCGTATATCTCTACCGTTTAGTATAAACTTTTGAACTATGCAACTATATGATTGGTTTCATTTGCGACCCGAATTTCAGTTGTTTGAGTGCGCTTACAAGGTATGTATATATATATTCAATGGATGTATTTGTATATTAGACTTAAGTATTTAAAGCCAAGGCCATTTGTACTGCCGTTCGCTATGCGAGCACATTTTATATTAACAAATCCTCATCCGGATCCTCCTCATCGAAGTCATCATTGGCATCTGGTGTATAGATGATGTTGCCGTCCTCCGCTTCACTGGTGCTGCGAGGGTCATAGAGGATTAGTGAATTGATTAATAAGCAACTCTGCAAACTAACCGTTCATATGGTAATGTGAGCGCATTGCGCGCCACAACTTCATCCTCATCCAATTCAATTTTGAAGGTGCGACCAGTATCAGAGGCATTATCTGGCGTCTCCTGTATTGTGGTACCAGGTGAAGTCGTCGTGTCGACACCCTCGGTCAGAGGCTTCACTTGGAACTCTGTCTTGCTGACTTGGCACTTGTAGCGTTTGTTGGTCACCCCGCCGCCCGGCTTGCGGGAAATCAGAGACAACGTGCTGTCTGTCTCCAAGCGTAGCACCAGCTCCGCTAGATACTCACAGCCAGCTAGAATATAGTCGGCGTCTGGATGCTGTAGATGCATCGGTGACGCCCACAGGAAAACACGTCGAACATGCTCTGATTGGCGCAACTTATTCAGATAGTCAAAAATAAAGGCAGGAGTCTGATAACAGAGCAAATCCGCCAACGTTGGCAGTATTACATTGTAGCCAGTCTTTGTTGTGATGGGATCGGTTGGATTTGTTTGTTGATTATTTGCATTGTTGGCGCAATCACGCAGCATCGCCTCAAAGCTGGCCACGTGCTTCAATTGCGTGCCAATTGGCAGAGCTTTAATATCATTGCCCTCGCCCTGCTCGCTTAACAGGCTGGTAATGAATTTTAGCGCGATACGATCGCGATTTAGTTGATCTGCAAAATCGAGCGATATGTTTATTTATTTTGTTTTGACATTTATAATCCAAATTTACTTACCAATTATCAACACGACCTTTTGATTGGTCACAATTAGATTGGACAGCATTGCATTTAGTTGTAATAAATTAAAAATAAAATTAAACTGCAGTTTTTGTTGTTGCTAACCTTTAGCGATGTAAGTATCACAAAGCTATCGATATGCAAAACAAGCGATACCTAAGCTTGATACGATAGTGTTGCAGGTGCACTATTATAATGTCAGTGGTTCATCTCTATAGCCAGCTGATATTTGATACAACCGCCTTTTCCAAATGAGTAAACAATACAAATAATTCAAAATGTAGGGCCATCCAGATCGATTACAAAGCGCTACAAGGGAAAGTGAAACCTTGAACTTGTATATAGTTTTTGTAATGATAATGCCGAATGACAACGACTGATAGTCGGTCAACGGCTTCGGCGCGCATTGATTGCTGCTCGTTTGATCTCATTTATTTGCTTTCTCTGCCGATGCCGACGTCAGCGCTGACGTTAACGAATCAGCCGCTCTGTTGTGGTTTGCTTGGATCGCTCAGTTGTGGTAAATATCGCTGTGGCTCTTGTGCTTGGATTTTTGGCAGTCGCGTGCTACAAAACCAATAAACAAAACAAAAAACGTGGCGCTTGTTACACTTTTTAACGATTTGACACACAATACCGTAAGTAATATTTTGTAATATTAAAAAGCTTCATTATAAACAAATCGCATGACTGTATCCATAATATCCAACAAGTGGTTAACATAGATTGAGCGTTTGTGTATTGTGGTTTGCCTGTTGGTATTAGGTTCTAAAAGCTTTTGAGCAAAAGCTTTAGACGCTGCTGTAGATGCTTTTTGAGGGGTATTGCGTAGGCGTCGCTGCCTTTGCAGATATTTTCGCTGCTTCCATATGGATGACTTTTGATGTACCCGAGAACAACAGCTCGAATCCTGCAAACAACGCAGTTAGTTCAACAAGTGAAGACAGCTGGCAAAGATAAAATTAGTTAAAAATACTTGCAAGTCAACATTTCATTATCTAAAAACTCTGGCAATCGAACACATTTGATAAGCCGCTTAAAATTCAAATTAAACAACAGCAGCAAAAAGGAAACAAGCAAAATTTTATCAAGCATACGACATGCTATTCACACTGGGTAAGTGTGTGGGTGTATTTGAGTGTGTGTATGAGAGAGAGAGAAAGAGAGAGAGGCTGCGAGTGAGACTGTGTATATGAATATGTGTCTATGTATTGTGGGTGCAATTATTATGCATAGAACATGTTATTTGCAAGCCAACACCTCAATTGAAATGCAGCTCAGAAAAAAATTCCATTTCAATAGAATCAAAGGAATGTACAGCTGCGCCCAACCCCTCCCCCTTGCTGACTTCACTAATCGCCGTAGCGTATGCCTAGCATATTAACAACAACAACAAGGTTGGGCTAACCCATTGCATGCCAATTTTAATTAGACAATGGCCAACACATTACGCGCTCGAATGTGCATCAAACAGGAATATTAAATTATGGTTAATAATTAACTAACTTTATGAGCATATGAAAAAATATTAAAAGCTCTTTTCAGTAGTCAAAACTCGCATGCGAGCAATGTTGTTTTTGTTAAAGCTTGCCGCTGCCAGCGCCGCTGCTCCATTGCGGCGTTGCTGCTCTGCTTTGTGCAAAGCGCCAACTTTGAATTCAGTTGCGCATTGCACTTTGTGGTGTTCGGTTGTGACTATCGGTGTGTTAATTGGTTCTGTGTGCCGTGTTTCTCTGTGCTACTGTCTTTCGAGTTGTATTACTCATATGCCATTGCCTGCAAATCAAAGCTGGATTAGATGTTAATCAGTGTTGTTAGCCAACCATTTGTGTATTGATTTTTGTACAAAAGTGTAACCACAATGTCAAAGGATATGGATATTGAACAGGCGGCGCAGGCGACGATGACGACGACTTCAATCGAAGTTAAAGCCGAGCCTGTCACTGTTGCCGAACCAACAGCAACAATAACAGTGGTAGCAGCAGCAGCAGCAGCGGCAACAAATGGCGATAGCAGCGGCAAGGCGGCTGAGGAGCAAAAGCAACAAGCAGCAACGGCAACAACAATAACAACAATAACGGAACAAGTGCAGCCAACAGTTGCTGCCGCCGTCGAATCGACCGCAAGCAAAGGTACAACAACAACAATAACAACAATAGCAACAGCAACCAATACTAAGCGCAACAAATAGCTTTCAAAAAATCAACAGCTCACCAATAACAGCGCTTAACATTTTAGTTTCGAATTAGTAAAAGTTATAATAAAACGCAGACACCGGTCAGCCGGACGAGCAGGACGGACAAGCGTAGAAAGAAAGAAATCCAAACAAACCCACATACACACACACATACGCATACATGCGTAGAAGTGATAGGTTTAAGCGAGAGTGAGCGAGAGGGCGAGCGTGTGCCAATGCAATTGCATTAACATTGCTCATCCTCGTGCTTCGCCTCCTTCTTTGGCATCTGCTGTCTCACTGCCTCGCCCTCTTTCTCTCTGCTTCTCTCTCGGCTTCAGTTTGCTCAGTCAACAACATTTTCGCACCAAGTTGAATTTCACTTTAGTTTTTCAGCAATTTTTTCTTGTGTTTTATGCTTTATTTATTTTACTTTTGCTGTTTTCAACTTTTTACGCTTTTCCAAAGTCATCGGCGTCGCATCTTCAAAAAGTTTTACTTTTTATGTGGATTATTTATGTATTGCTTGTATTTTCTTCTGCCCATTACCTTCAAATTTTGCGCACGATCTGTTGCAACGCTTTGCCGAGCAGCAACGACTGCAGCACGGCTGCTTAACTAACAGTCAATTAACTATAATATGCACCCTAATTAACATTCGAATATGTCCAATTCATTTCACTTGCCCCAAAATTATGGAGCCAGCCGAAAATGTTGTCGATTGTATAACTGTGACACGTGCCAGACAAACACAAAAGAAATCTAATGAAAAGACTGTGCCACATTCGGTTTATCTTGACTCGTTTCAATTGAGAATTCAAAACTCATTTGCATAAGAAAAAAAAAAAAAACCTTTAATTAAAGCGTCTGATAAGTGAAATGTTAAAAATTCGCTATCTGAGCATGGCTTGTTACAAGGTTTCTCTTAACTAGGTAACTGAACCCAGAAGTGAGCTCATTTGACTATGCTATATGCAAGAAGTATATACTGTACTATAGAGTGATGTACACACAAATAGTTGTATATAATACTTTATTAGCAAATAGTAGTGTAAGATAATATAGCAGACAGTGTCCTGATATGATATATACTAATAAATTGTGCTGTAATAGCAAATAGTAGCATATAATAACCTATGGTAGTATATATAGCAGTATATTGCTAGTGAGCTATTCATACATAAAAGTATTCAGTATTATGCTATATTTGTGTATATTTACTACTATTTCATCATATAAAATTCTTCGAAAATTTCTAAAACATCTAATTTCTGTCTGAATTTAAAAAAAAAAAATCTTAAATAAAAATAATCTATAATTTCCTCTTCACATTTACGCTCTTCGTAAGATCTTGCTGTGTATCGTCGTCTTTGAATTTCAGTTAGTTCTATTATTTATCTAACTTCTAGTTGCGCTTTCAACACTCAGTAAATTATTATTCCCTACATGACTACAAACATTTCAATTTATCAGAGAAGCACAGCAATTTTTTAATTCATTTGCCATTTATTTTCTATCTTCCTCTCTCTCTCTCTCTCTCTCTCTCTCTCTTCTTGTTCATCTTTCGCTCCGACAAACCCCATACAATAGATACACGCTGAACAATACTGTTTAAAGCGATTTGGTATCATTATTTTTGCCACTGCCAAAGCTTGCCGAAGTGGCTGCTAGACAATGTTTACACGCACTTCCCTGATAAGAGGTTCGCAGGCAAGGCATATGCTAGCCTCTGCCTCTCATCTTATAGTTGGGAAAAACAATTACAATATCAGTTTAGAGGCGTGTCTCCAGTTGGGGGGGCAGTAATCTAATAATCTATTCGCGCATTTGGTATCAGTGCGTGCTGGCTTGTTTGTTTAGAGATCTCAGTTTGCCGGCGACGCTGTTAGATGAGCCTTTGTTTATCGCTAGATTTATTGGAATTACAACTGAATGCGGTTTTCTATGCCTCGTCGACGCGTATGCTTCGAAATCTATTGAATTTCCCTATGATATCATGTGTCAGCTATGGCGAAAATGTCGGGTCAATTACCAAGTAACGCTAAAATTCTAAAAATAGATCAGAGCAAAAAATATGTATACAGAAGAATGTTCTGTCTGCTTCAATACAGCTGAATGTTTAGATAATCGTAATAAATAAAAATTCTTTATTCTTAATTAAAACAATATTGTGGAAATATGAAATTTTGGACTGCTTAGCGCATACAAATGGATATATGTATCTAAATATGTATTATATATGTACATACATAGATTTAGATCAATTTATTTTCCCCAACTTTTAAACGCATTGATCTATAAAATCTACAGAATTAAACATGTGGGTGGATAAATCGATGTTAAAAAACTTAAGCTGTTAAATGATATTTCAGAGCATCTCATAGTCGGGGACTCCCGGCCAACTCTTTCTTATTGTCTTATTTATTTACTTCTTCTTTTTTTCAGGCAACAACAAATCCAATATGGATCCGACGCTGATCAACTTTAAGGTGCTCTATGTGCTAACACAGCTGTGCGGCTTGACGATGATTGTGCTGGTTGGCACCTGGATCGGGCAGCATTTCGGTGGCTTGGGCGGCACCGACAATCCCAAGCAGGAGTTCAATTGGCATCCGCTATTTATGACCATTGGCTTTATCTACTTGTACGGCAATTGTGAGTAGCTGCCGTCAGTTAGTTAGTTAGTTATCCAGGCCGGAAAAGGTGCCACTAATCGGCCACTCCAATGCAATTCTTTTGCAGCCATACTCGTCTATCGCGGCTTTCGCACCACACGCAAGAAGACACTGAAGCTCACCCACGCCGGCATTCACATGGCCGCCTTCGTGTTGACGGTGATTGCGCTGAAGACGGTCTTCGATTCGCACAATCTGGTTGATCCGCCCATTCCCAATATGTACTCGCTGCACTCGTGGCTGGGTCTCTCCGCTGTCATCATCTTCTGCTTGCAGTATGTGGCCGGGTTTATGGCCTTTCTGGTGCCGGGCATGCGGGAGAACTATAAGATTGCTCTGATGCCGCTGCACATATATTTCGGACTGTTTGGCTTTGTGTTAGCCATTGCCAGCGCCGTTATGGGGCTCACCGAGAAGGCCATATTTGCGATGTATGCTATCTGAATTTATAAACGCTTATAACTTGGCTAATGCTCCATAAATGTTTGTCTTTGTCTAGCCCCAACTATTCGAAGCTGCCCTCAGCGGGCGTATTGGCCAACATTATCGGCGTGCTCTATGTTGTGTTCGGCGGTCTCGTTGTTTACCTGGCCACCGAGCCGTCGTATAAGCGAAAGCCTATACCGGAGGATACAGCTCTGCTCACGGCCAATGGAAACGAGTAGAGTTGAGCCGATGTCCCCAATGACCAGCTGCAATCATAACTTAAGCTCAAAACTGTGCACAAAACAAACAGAAAACAAATCCCAAAGTGGAGGATGCTATTAACCGTGTGGTGCTTCGTTTTTCGTTCATCTCAAAAGCTCTACGAAATGTTAAAGTTGAAATGCGTGTTTTTAATTATAATAGTGAATAATTTATGAGTTATATAAATTTAATATATATACCATATATATCTATATATACATATATGTATTTTATGTATGTCAGACAACTGAGTAAAGGCCCATAAAATATGTTTTAATCCCTACCCATAATAATCTGTATTATACGAATATATGTTATAAACAAATATATCTATATGTAATATATCTATAATATATATCTATATATACGAAATTGTCTTTAAATTGAAATACCGCCATGATATCAGATTATATTCTATTTCAGTTGATACGCATAGGTATATACATTTCCAGTTTACTTCAGCTATTGACTTTTGTCTTTTCCATCATTATTGTCATCGCTCCGCCTATCATACTTGACAGTATTGTGGCTTGTGGGCTTAGCCAATCTCTCGTCATTTGGGAACTGAAGCCAAGACGCCTCATCGACCCCCTGGAAGTTGAGCTCATCGTTCAGGTCGACGAGGTATGTCGAAGTTCTGCCCTCGATTGGGTTATCCTCGAGGCCGCGATAATAGCATTTGATATCCAAATGGCTCAATGTTCGAGCCGTGTTTTCGGTGACGTGTATGTGGCCAGTAACGCCCTTCTCTGCCATAATCGAGGCCCAGTTGACAGTTCGGCCCCAGAGATCGAAATAGAAGCGGGATTGGCCCACAACACCGGTGTGCGCAGGTCCATGCGAAATGCCAATCTTTAGTTGTCCGGGCATGGCGTTGGGGAACTTCATAGTTAGATTTTGCATGGATACATCCTGCATTATGCGCAGCATATCGGCAGCATAGTGAACCAGATACAGGACGCAATAATCACTGTATTCAAGATGCGGATGATTGAATCGTGGATTATAGTTTAGCAATTCCGGTATCTGAATATGTTCACCTACTAATAGGCGAATTTGAAGAACTCTCAAGATATATGTGTTTAGAGTTATAGTTACTCGATACATTTGACACTCTGGATAAACGGCCTCTGACCGGTTTCTTTATGGAAGTCCAGCTTGACTGGGATAGATTGTCGCCTGCATCTAGGCCACAAGCAGCCACATAGGTCCAGTTTATGACCTTGATCTTCTCCACCTTAAAGCCTTTCGCATACTCCTCGATTAAATCATCGAAATAGCAAATGAATTCGTTAAGCACACGCAGACTAGTCGTATCCAATGGGAAGTTGACAATGGAAGCGAATAATACGGCGACTTTCGCAACGTACTTGTGATATGGCAGATCGTTAGAGGGGTGATTTATAAATATGGGCACAAGGTAGGTGGGCAACATGTTAGCCAGGATATGCTCTGCATTGCTCTTGCTTTTCTCTATTAGCTCCCGCTTCTTGTTAGCGTTAAGCAGAAAGCTTAAAGTTAAAAGATGGCATTAGAAACTAAATAGAGTCCATATTGGACAGAGTTTTCTCCCTTCCCATACTCACTAATAGCTCACGCGTTTTAGGTAGATTATGTGATGATCCAAGATCATGTAATAGAGGCAGGCCGATAACAAGTGCCAAACACTTGCCACTTCTGCCGGCAGACCCATATTCGTTTTCTGTTTGCTGTGCTTTATGTTGTAGAACACATACAAGGTAAGGATGTGAATTATGCAGAGCAGAACGATCAGCGACGCTTTGAAGATCAGCGGTACGGACAGAAAGGTGAAGAGCATGAACACTAGAATCATATGCTCTGAAGCTTCCTGCAGATGGTAATCACATATAAATCTATTCGGCCTTACACTTTATATCCCAACTTACCCAAGGCTCAACGATACTCGGACTCGACAGGGTTTTATATTCTATAAGTTTTAGCTCTTCCCGTCGAAGCATAATCTATAGCCATATCCCATATATACAAATGCATATAAAATAAGAATCGTTTACATACGTACCGCTTCTAGAGTGCCCAAAATATAGACCATCCACAAACACAATACATAGACTATAGAGCGCAGTATTCGTTTCTCTTCCAGCCATCGACTAAATGTACAGAGCCAGCGATGTAGGAAAAATTTCGGTGGAGACACTGCACGATGCTTGGAAATTTGTATTGTAATTTTGTTATAGAAGGCAAGCAGACATATTATAATCAATATCGCGTACATATAAAGCATTTTGTATGAAATTACAGAGCTAGACAAATGGAATTTGTTAAATGAAATCGTTAAAAATGTTATAGAAAATATATTATTGAGTAAAGATATATGGGAAGAGATTCATCAATTATTTTCTCATCAGGTAATAAAAAAATATAAGAAATTGGGAAACAATATTGAAGGTGTAATTGTTTAGGGGAGTATATTAGAAGATGCTTCTTCTTTTTCTTATAGAGAGATGTTTACCTGAATGGTGGAAACAGGGCCATTATACAAAAGACTGTGGCAATGAATACCATTAATAATAGGGCATATTTAAATAACAGATCTGGCTGACCATTGTAGCCGCTTTCAATTTCGGGCTTGCGATAGATTCTCCAGAATGGCGTGATATAATGCTTGATAACATAATCCTCATTGCCACGTTCGATGCGATCTGAGAAATCGAAAAATCTCGCTAGGCTGTGTGTGGTATTATTCCATGTACATTACTATTTATGATATTTATAGTCGATAAGGCACATTATACTTACTTGATGCTGTCGACGGGCATAAACTCTACCTTTTCGAGCAGGCAACTAGCAGTTTTCTGGCGCAACGCATCAAGGTCTTTCCCATCAAATGCGACTGATGCTCTTGATACCGAATAGAACGAGCTCCGTAGCATACTATGATAGGGTAAGCTATCTGAATTCGACTCTGAGTCTTTGGAAATACGCATGAAAAAATTGCCCGTGGTACTTTTTATGACTCGGGGCTGAGGCCCGATCAAGTATGTGGTAATATTGGCCTTCTGCAGGAGCGAATGACTTTGGGCCTCCTCCGGGCCATTCTCATAGTTATATTCACTATGCAGCAAACGGAGCGTTTTCTGCGACACGTGCACCATATTCTTGCGACCCAGCGATGCCATGCAATGGGCTATGGCCACATCCTGTGACCAGATATCGAAGCAGCACTTCTGACGGCCCACAATGGCGGTGAAGGCCTCACCATCATGAACGGCCACGCGAACTGCAATCTTGAGTTCCTTCTCCTGACGTATTTCATCTACAATGCTGATAAAGTCTAGAGCAAAATCTACGCAGGCATTCGTACGCCTGGTTGATTTCGGGATTATTCCGGAGATGCAGCTAAGGAAATTGCCTAGGAACTTGATCGGCAGGACATTATGCTTAGCTGCCGATTGATCCAACCGCACACAAATACCGTTGAGAATCTCCAGAATCTCGGACACGTCGAGCTGTGTTATCAGCTGATAGTTTGTTATATTGCCGATCAGTATAGAGACATTTGAATACAGCTCTATGAAGAGAAGACTACAAATGGCATTAGGCATATGAAATGAGATGATTTTCTGATCAATACGAACGTTGATGTGAAATATCGCATACCCTGCCGCTGCTCATCGATGTGCTTATACATTTCCGCTTTCAGAGTTGATCGGATATTGGATGACAATAGCTGTTCCATGATGTCATTTTCCATTAGCACGGCGGACTAAAGAGATTCAATGAGATGTGACAGGTAATACGAAATTCGATTTACCCTTAGCTTAATGTTCTGATACAGCAACTTGCGACGATTCAATATCATTCTCCTCAAGTCGTATTCGATGAAAATGCGAAAGCCCTCCATGAAAACATTCAGTGAAACCAGATAGATGGCATAGGATCCATGGCTGCTGAGGCTGATCGGTTCCCTAATCGACAGGCTTGAGTAAACATAATATAAGAAATAGATCGCGGTAGATCCAAAGCCAAGAAACGAGGGTTTGCCATAGACGGAAATTGGCAGTAGAAAATATATTGATATGGTAACGACGTGATCGTAGGAGCTCCTTAAATGCACATCAGGGCCGACACTCAGCGCCATAAAGAAGGTATCTAAGGCAAACTGTTAATGGGTCTATTGACTAGAGACACCTAGATACCCATACCCGTCAATACTATCATCAGGGCAGCTGCGCAGCTGGCCAAGATGTTCCAAAGCCGAAATCGAGCATATTTCTTCTTGTCCTTGAAACATATCAAAACTATGAGCGGCAGCAGCACCATAATAAATATGAATGGAGCCGTTGTCCGGATCGTAAACTGCAGAGGTGAAGAGACTGCTTAATTAGGTCAGGCGATGTGCCAATCGCAGCGAACTCACTCCCTTGTACATTATTTGCAAAAGCACGTGTATGAATCCCAATAGCTCTGCGAGGAACACGAAGAGCGATACATTGACCACGGCCAGGCGCTCAACGTATCGGCGGTAGCATGGCTCCAGGGAAAGATCTTCAATTTGTTTCTACGAGATGATGAATGAAATTTCATCAGCCCGAATGAGTAGATCGAAAGGACTCACGCGCAAATTAATCCACTCCCAGCCCTTTAGTTTCGACACATCTATGATGGATTCATCTGGCATCAGCATCAAATTCGGCGATTTGATAGACGAGCTCATGACTTGTTTGTGTTTATCTAATGTATTTGTTGTAATCAAATATTCCACATTGACTTTGAAAGCTGTAACAACTTTCTGGCTTTATCAAATGCCAGATTAGTTTGGCTGGAAGGGATCGAATGGGGATTATTAAGAGTACCTGCATTGTGACTTAGTCAGAGCAATTAGAAATGCTCTTTACTCCCTGTTTAGCTATAGTTCAAAATACTTATATTTGCTGTACAGAGTTTTAGTTTTATACAAATTTATTTACATAAATATTTGTTTATAATTTAACTATTTTCCTGCGCTGGCGCTGGCGCTGGCTGGTGGGGCAGGAAGCCTTTGTATTCGTCGTCGGTGCCCAGTATGTAGGTGGGTATGTTGCCACGCCCCTTGACGAATGTTTTGCCCCGGTAATTGCACTGAATATTGAAGTTGCGCAGCTTCAGAGCGGTATTCTCGGTCACCTGTATCTTGCCCGGAATACCTGTTGAGTCCATGCGCGAGGCCATGTTCACCGGATTGCCCCAGATGTCGTAGTGTGGCTTCGATATGCCCACAACACCGGCCATAGCTCGTCCATGCGAGATGCCAATGCGCAGCATGCCGTAGTCCGTGCTGCCCTCATACTCCGACTGCATATTCTCGGCATTGAAGCGTCGCATGGCTCGCATCAGGTCCAATGCGAAATTGGCCATCACCTTGACCACCTCGTCGTTGCTGCGCTCACTATCATTTTCAGTGCTGCTCAGCCTGGGCGTGCTGCTTATCACATTGCCCTCGTACTGTCCACGCTCCATGTCCAGGGCCAGCGTATTGCCACTGCCATAGGGCACGCGCTGCAGCTGCTCGGAGCCCAGATTGCGATACTGACTGCGTCGTCCATTGGGCATTAGCGAGACATTACGGAATTTCACCTGCGGCGCATTCACCTGCTCGGAGCGAGTGACGTCCAGGCCACAGGCGGCCATATAGGTCCAGTTGGCCACCTTGATCTTCTCCACGCGCAGACTAGTCGAATACTTGTTCAGCTGAGAGAGGGCATATGTTATACTAAAAGTCGGCCATATATATTTATCTATCCATGCTCACCACATCATCAAAGTCACATATGATCTCGTTGAGCACGCGCAGGCCGATCTTGTCGGTATCAAAGTTTTTGATCGAGGCAAACATCACTGCCACATTGTCGTACTCCTCGTAGTAGAGCTCATTCTGCAGCTGCGTGGATAGGTAGAAGTCGGCTGCAAATCAGAGATCTATTAGCATTACATAAACAATATTTTAGTCACTCAACTTACCCACGTGCGAGGGCAATATATTCACCAGCAGCACCTTGATCGTATCATTCGTAATTAAGGCGTCGTCCTGCTTCTGCATCAGTTGCCGCTTCCAGCTGCCAATTGCTGTTGTCTTTAGTCAGGCAGATTAGAATTGAAATGCTCAAGCAACTTACTTGTAGTCCACTTTAGCTATAAATTCCGTTTGCCGTTCCATTAAATGAAAAATGCCCAGCGTTATGAAGATGAGCAGAAAGTGCGAATATTTTGCATTGAGATTAACATTCGTCGGAGGACTGCCGTCAAAGATATGCTCAAACTCATAGACCACCAGCACCGTATAGGCGACCGTGATGAGCACAGCGACAGTTGTCTTGACAACGAACGGAATGCGCGTGAACAGAAAGGCGGTGCCAATCAGTAGAGTAACGCAATTGGTCAGAATCTGAGAGAACGGTTTTTAGGATCATTCAAAATACATATTTTCGTCTGACTTACCCAAGGGTGGAAGCATTGTATAAGTTCTTCATCTCTTTTTGGTCCACAGTCGAGCTGTAAAGTACATGCAAATCTCGTTAATCGTTAATTGGGTAAATGTACAATTTATGATATTCTGCACTCGCGCCAACATTTGAAAATTGCATTTAATGCTGTTAGCTGACAGCTTATCGAACAGGGCTGTTAGCTTATTGTTGCAGCGTTGCCACCTAATCACTTAAATTTAAATTTCATTAAACCCACCACTTGCATGGCGGTCACAACAATGCAGGAGACTACGACGAGGATGTAAACAGTGAGGCGTATGCCAATGCTGCGCTGCATGAAATCGGACATTTTGTAGAGCATTCGACTGAGCTTATATTGTGGCAGCAACTGTTCCGTGTCGGAGAAGTACATAATCCAAATTTTCTTATACCAGGAGATGATTAGCATTGCGGTAAGCACAGATATAGTGACGCCATCAAGGATCCAGTAGTGATATTTGGGACTGCAAATATAGGGGAGTATTGAGTACGTTCCTATTTTCCATGCCCATGATAGCTCCTTTACTCACTCTTTGCTGAGCAGCTGAATGGACAGTAGGCATATGTAGACAAACCAAGCCAGGACTATGCTGTACTTTAGCATGACATCCGGCTCTCGGATGTACTGTATCTCCCAGTTGCGTATGCGAAAGAGCAGGCAGAAGGAGCTAATGTTGCGTCTGAAGGTCTCTTCCTCGATTTCGTCTTGGGTGAGGTTGGTGGATCGTCTGCAAATCTTAGTGATCCTAGTGCAGGGAATTGGTGTTAGTCAAGTATACTCTATGTGCTTAAAAGACAGTGCTTACTGTATGCGACCGATGGGCATTTTGTCCAGCTCCCGGCACATCTCCAGCTTGGCCTGGTTACGTACTTGATTGTACTGCTGCAGCGTCGAGTTGTACATGAAATTGGATTTGCTGGCCTCGCTCAGCTTTTTGGCCTGGCGCTCACGCTGCACGCGACGCGGATCATGCATGGGGGCCTACAACTTTCGACATTGATTAATTGTGCAATTCGCCTGGACGAAGGGCTGCAGTGCGTCCATGGAGCAATACTCACGCGCAATGATTTGATGAGGAATGTGCGTATGTCGTGCTTCTGCAGCACTGGATCCTCGCGTGCCTTCTCCGTGCCATCCTCGTAGAAGTATTCGCCGTCCAGCAGTCGCAACGTCTGTTGACTCACATGTACACGTCCTGTGGCACCTGTGGCCTCCAGTCGGTTTGCGATGTCCACATCCTTGGACCAGATGTCGAACTGCCATTTGGAAGCGCCAATGACGCCGGACAGCACGTCGCCGGAATGAACGCCAATGCGCATATCAATATTCAGATTTCGCTTCTCCCTGGCAAACATGGAGGTTAGTAAGCGAGCCAGGCGCATGAGCTATCTCACCTAACATCGCGTATGTCCTTGATCATGCGCAGGCCCAGATCCACGCAGCACTTGGCGTGATCCTCGTTGGGACTGGCCAAGCCCGCGACGCAGTAGTAGCAATCGCCCAAGAACTTGATGCGCAGCACGTTGTACTCCTCACTGGCAATGTCGAAGCGCACGAAGAGATCATGCAGCGCCTCCACCAGTTTCTTAACATCCAGCGTCGTGGTCAGGTGGGTGTAGTTCACCACATCCGCATAAAGAATGGTGACATCCTTGTGTGGTTCGATGAACAGAGTGCTACGGATGAGAGGTATAGATATTGCAGCAGAATTATGGAGGGCTTGACAGCCTGTACGACTTACCCATGATCTGGTTGACGCCAACGCCTCAAGGCTTGACTATTGTTGCTACAGCCATGATTAATGCCGGGTCGCTGATGATGTTGCTGCTTGGAGCGTTCAATGCGATTGCGCACATCCTCCTGCAGGCGATCAGCAATCTGGGCGGGCAGAATGCTCAGCAGCAAGCTGCGCTCCTGATCTCTCGCATAGCGCAGCAATAGGTTCTCCTCCACATACTGACGCCGATCCAGGAAGGTAGTGCGCAGCGCAATATCCCGCATCAGTCGGAAGAAGATGCCCAAGAAATTGACGCAGCTCAAGTAGATGGCCTCGCTGTAAAAGGAGCTACAGAGGAGATATCTACCCAAAGAGCAGGGAGCTGAGACTTACTTGAATATGCTGTGCATTTGATTGGCCTCCTTGGCGGAGATGACAAAGCTATAGTTGATTATATAGCAGATGGTGACGGCGGTGCCCAAAATGAAGGGCTGCAGCACATGCGGAATGGGCATGAACATATAGATGGCATATAGAGTATATGCATCATAGATGGGATTAAGGATGTCATTGTTGCTGGTGGCATGATAGACATTCAGTCCAATATCTGGAGGGCAGAGGAAAACAATGAAAAAAAACAGTTAGTCTACCAGACTAGCAGCTATAGCTACCCATGAGCACCAAGATGGATACAGCCAGCCAGGAGGAGGCATAGACCAACCAGCCGTGTTTGCTGATCAGCTCGTTGCGAAAGTTGACCGAGAGTATTAGCCAAATGAGGACGGCCGTTACCAGATAGGTGATCATGTCCACATAGGCATAGGTCAGATCCGATGAGGTTAGCAGCACCAGGGCGTGCGTGCAGGTGACGAGCATCTGGATAAAGATGAAAATGGACAAATAGCCAATCCGAAGGCGGCGCATATATAAATCATATGACTCCTCCAGTTCCAGATTGCGACATTTTCGCTAAATATAATCCAAGAGATTAGATGCCGCTTGAGATATATGTATATGTACATATATACATATGTATGTATGTAGTAGGGAATTCCTTAGCAGCTTACCACTAGATAAGACCACTCCCAGTTCCTTTCATTGAGCGTCGTCTGGACATGCTCATGATTGGAACGAAACGAACTCGTACGATTGCTGGCATTATATTGCGAATTCATACTGTCTGCACTTGTTGCTCTCGTTCAGGGCGTCAGCATTTTTACTTGCTTCAAATGACTTGGATGACTGAGTCCCAAGACTGCTTAGCTAAAAGATTAGGCTCCTGGGAGAACTACGCACTGGGGCCATAAACGAACGCACACACATTGACTCAGTCAGTCAGTCAGTCAGGCAGCCAGAGCCAGAGCTTATCAGAGCTAAGAGAGCGAGGTGAGCGTGAAGAGCGTACGAATAATTGTTTTTGTGATTATTTCGGATATCTTGGAGTATCGGATTCAAGTATTTGGTTTATTCTACTCATACTAAAGCAATATTGTATATTTGAGAGTACTAACGCCAATCGAACTGTATCGCAATTCGCGAGCGCTGCGTGACACTGCGCCAGCAGCTAATTTAGCAATTTGTCTAATGTGTTGTTGATAGCGCCTAATGGTTTGTAAATCACAAACACTCGCCTATCAAGACATGCACAGTCTATTAAAAAAAAATTTGTACGAAAACGTATTATCTCTGGCCCACTGGTCACAGCGAGCGATGCAATTGCTTCTTTCGCTTCTTTATTGTTGTTGTTATTTTGTAATGTGCAATTTGTTTGGTTCGCGTATTGTAATTTATTGGTTAATGGCAAAACACTTGAAATAATTCGCACTTCACTTTGGTTGGCAATAAATACGATAATAATTAATAAAAAAATTAACACCACTTAAGCTCGTAGCGCTGCTACAACCCAATACAAAACGGACAGGTATCACAAATTACTCTTTGGCAAAGCTGATAAGCGTCGTCGTCGCTGTCGATTGCCAGAGACGGTTGCGGCTGCGGTTGCGGTTACGGCTATTGTACTGCTCAATGAGCTACGGCACACGCGTTACGGCTGGTCTCGATTCGTATGTGACACCTGAGCACCGTCCAATACGCTTCAACTTCGGCGATCAACTGATGGCAAGTGTTTAGACGCATTGATATCACACCTGTTGTCGGGTTTGAAGCGCTTATCGGTGTGAAGCATACGCCAAAATGCTTGACGCATATTCATAATATAGTTGCTAATTAATTTGATTGATTGCTTTTCTATATGATTGATAGGACGATACATTTTTTAAAATCATTCGCAAAAATTTATTTATCTTCCACCCAGCCATAGCAAATATTTGAATGCAGAAAAGGCGCCAATATTTGATTTTAGAACTCGATCAGGCAACTCCGCGCTGTGCATTAAGTTGGCAGCTCTATATTCTGTTAATGTACATAGTTGTTTTATAACATTGGGCTTATCGATTATTCCAGGACTTAACAGCAGCCGGTGTAACTATATTTAACTGTTGTTAACTTATTTTTTTTTTTAAATAATAAACAATTAAATCAAATTAATTTCAGTGAACCAAGATCTTAATTCATAAATATTGTAGAATTTTTCGGAACGTTGCTAGGGCAAGAAATCAATTAACAGCAGAGGCATTGCTGAGAGCGCTCCTAGTTAACAGCCAATGTTAATGTTGAATTATTACAGCTGTTATCACAGAACGAGAAGAGGAAGATTTAATTATTTTTGTTTTTCGACCCGTGTGTTTTTCTGTCCCTTTTTTTTCGTGTTGCATATTAAATAAAAAACGGCATATAAATAGAATTGACCCAAGTTAAAGAATCGCTGCAATGTCAGCCTTTACGGAATCCGCTCTTATCAAGAAACTATCCGAACTGAACCCCAGCCAGCAGAGCATACAAACATTGTCCTTATGGCTGATCCACCATCGGAAGCACCACACGGCCATAGTGCAGACCTGGCAGCGCGAATTACAAAATGGTACGTAACAAGCGGGAAGAGGAAGGGAATGGATTTATTACAGAAAATTATCTCTGCATGCAGTGCCGGAACCGAAGAAGCTAACGTTCATGTATCTGGCCAATGATGTTATACAGAATAGCAAAAAGAAGGGGCCCGAATATGGCAAGGAGTTCAGTAATGTGCTGCCTAAAGTGTTTACCCATATTGGCGAAACCTGCAGCTCGGAAAAACTGCTGGGCAGTCTGGGACGCATTTTGAACATCTGGCAAGAGCGCGGCGTCTACGATCCCAAGGCGATTGCCGATTATCGGTCGCGCATGAATCGCGAGGGAGCTGCATCAACAGCGGCTGCGTCCAATGGCAGCAAGAGTGGCGGTGAATCAGCTGCGGGTCACAAGCACAACCACACCAGCAGCAGCAGCAGTAGCGGCAACAGTATCAGCAGCAGCAACAACAACAACAAGTCGGAAAAGTCCGAGAAACGCGAGAAGCGCAAACATGAAGAGAGACACATGAAGTCGAAGCGACCACGTGCATCGCACCATCAAAGCATCAGCGTAGAGTCGCCTGTCGTTGAGCCCGAGAATGGACACACGCCTCCATATTTGCCATTGGGCGAACCGCCCGAGCCCGAAGAGCTAATCAAAGCGCTGACCAGTATTGAGAACTCGGCGTCAAGCGATGCGTTGGTGCGCGAACGCATCGCCAAGCTGCCGCCCGAAATATCTGAAATAAGCTGCATTAGCAAACTAGAGGATAAGGACAAGGCCAAGGTCTTGGCCAAACAGGTGTGTTCTATCTAATATCAACTGTCTTGGACATATTTACTAAGGATTTGCATCTTCTGTTTGTCCAGGTCAATGAGGCCGTTGAGCTGCTGAACGACTACAATGCGCGTCTCGCGGCTGAAATGGAGGAGCGCACCAAATTGGCAGCGATGCTGCGCGACTTTCAGGCGGAGCAGAAGGAGCTGCTGGCCCAAGCGGAGCAGCGCTTGGATGTACGTTGTTAGCCAATTGTATATACAATACATATATGAAAGATAATCGCCCTTTGCTATGCATTAAATGTTCAATTCGCTCTATATCCAATTCACATTATTTTCCCACTCACTCATCCTCGATCGAATGTTCTCTGTGTACATATATTTGCAGGAGCACAAGAAGAAACTGGCCAAGATGATGAGTCTGCAAAAAGAGATACACGATCACTTGTCCAATTTGCCCGACCTGACGCAGCTGCCAGACGTTACAGGCGGCCTGGCACCGCTCCCCTCAGCCGGCGATCTCTTTAATACCCTACACTGAGCTGGACACCAACACGATTCGAAAATAAGCGCTGAGTCAAAGCCTAGATTTTTACATACTATACATATAGAAATATATTAAATACAATATAATGACTTCGTTAGCTTATGTATTTGCTCGTAATACCTTCAGCCACATTCAACAAAATAATAACAATTAATTGATTGCAATTAACATTTATTGACAGTTAAATTGAAAGCACATGCAATTATTTATGCGAGGGTCGACTGAGAAGTTTATGTCGCATTGGTTCTAGTGCATCACATAGTTGGCCACGCCCTGCCACTTCTCGACGAAGCCAATGATGTCCGTTACGCTGCTGGTCGGGGCCATTTTGACGGCCACCGCGAACTTGCTCCAGACATCGCGATTCACCTGGTTGCTGGAGGCGGAGAAGGTGACGGGCTGGCGGCCACGCACCGGATAGCCGCTGAGCAGACAGGGCAGATCGTTTGGACCCAAGCTGGACTCGTAGAGGCCGCGATCATCGTTGGGCAGCAGCTGATCCACCTGCTGGTCCATGCTGACGGCCAGCACCCATTCGCGCACCTCCTCGTGCAGACTGGGCTCGTTCTTGAGATGGATGTCCTCGGGCAGCGGCACGGAGCTCGGAAAATCGGTGGCTGCCAAATCCGAATGATCTACCAAATTGCCGGAGCCCTCCTCAATGGCCTCGCACACGTCCAAGTAGTGATTGAGCATGACGAAGGCCTCTGCCTCGCGACCCGCCTGTCGCAGTTCCATGCCCGCCTCGTAGAAGCCCTTGTCCACGGGCAGCACATCCGTGTGTCGCAGCAGCGCCAAGGAGAGACGCACGGCCACCGGATGCAGGGACTGCACCTGCTTGCAGGCGGCTCGCGTCGCATAGTAGTGGGCGATCAGCAGATACTGTTCGGCATTTGCCGCGAATTTGGACTGAGCGTGCTCCGAGCTGCGCAGCCCCTGCAGCAGGCCGTAGAGAAAGTCGCGCAGTCGCTGCCACACGGCTGCGCTCTCCGCCTGCTGCTCGCGCAGCGCCAGGCAATCGAGGGCGATGCGCGTGTAAATGTTGAAGTGCTCCTCGATGGGTGGCGCTCCGTAGCTGAGGTAGAGACCCAAGGCGGTGACGCTGTCGCCCTCGCGTATGAGCTGCGCTGCGTAGGCCGCCACGTACTTCTGCAGCACGGAGGGACTCAGCTGCTTGGCCTTCTCCAGGCAGCGTTGCCACTGGCCCTGCTCGGCCAGCAGATCCAGGGCGCTGATGATATCGATGTCCGCCAGCTGCTCCACGTTGCCCTCGTGCTTGAGCCGGGACTTCTGCTGCTGCTCCACGTAGGCCAGCAGCTCGGCGTCGATTTCCTTGGCCAGGCGGCGCGCCTTCGACCACTGTTCGGCGCGGATGAACACATCCACCGCCTGCTTGGGCATGTCGGCGGCCAGATACAGCTGGGCAGCCGGTCCGATCTGCTTGATGGCCAGCAGACGCGGTCCCAGCGCCTGGGCGAGGTCCTGCGCATCCTGCCCCTCCAGAAACTGATTCACTATCTCTGCGGCACGCAGTAGGGCACGCTCCAGCGTGGCTGCATCCTCGGCATTGCTGGCGTCTATCTGCATCAGGCACTCGGCGGCCTTGCGGAATTGCTCCCGCTTGGCGAACTCGGCAGCTCGCTGGAGATAGGCGCGGGAGTCGGCGCCCGCATCCTCGCCCTGCGCCTGGCCCCGCTGCACTTGAGCCTGCAGCCGGCGCAGATCATTCAGGGCGGCCGGATAGTGCTCCTCAGCGATGCGCAGGGCGTCCTCGAAGAGCGCCTCCTGCTTGTAGTGCTCAATGATGAGATCGGGTCGCTGTGCGCGCAGCAGCAACATCTCGTAGTCCTGATAGTTGCGTGTCTCCAGCGCAGCGGAGGCCTGGCCAATGAGCACCTCGTTCACGGCATCCGGCAGATGCTGCTCGGCCACGTTGAGCGCCGCCTTCCAGTCGCCAGCATGCTGATACATCAGTATGGCCTCCTTCGGCTTGTGCGCCTTCAGGAACTCCGCTTCGGCCTCCTCGAACTTGCCCTCGTCCTCTAGCGACATCGCTATCTTCAGGTGCACCTCGTCTGTGGGCTTGCCGGCAAAGCGGCACAGCTCCATGGCGAAGTCGAATTGGCCGGAGTCGCAGGCAAAGCCCACGGCCGTATCCAGCAGTCCCAGCTTGCTGAGCAGCCGCACTGCGCTCTCCAGCGGCATGGACTTGGCCCACATGTAGGCCACCTGCTGGCTGGCGCCCTCGGTGCCCTTCTGCTTGGCCACGCGATAGCCATCCTCCCAGCGGGAGGAGGAGCAGTACATGTGCACAGCCGACTTCCAGTCGCCCGACGCGATGAAGTGCATCTCGGCATTCTTGAACTTGCCGCGTGACTCCAGCTGCCGCGCCAGATGCAGATGCGTGCTGTCCAGCAGATCCTTGTGGTAGCGCTCGACCAGTCGGATCATCGAGTCGTACAGCTCGCGGCGCTTATACATGGCTATGGCCAGATCGGGCTCATTGACAGCTATCAATACCTTCTCGGCATCCCGATACTTGGCCTGCTCCTCCAGGCTGCTGGCCAGCTGGACAAACAGTTCGCGCAGCTGATCCGCCTTCAGATACTTCTCGCCCAGCACATAGGCGCGCTCCCACTTGCCATGTCGGTTGAGCAGCTCGATGGCATCCCTGTAGAGATTGGCGCGCACCAGCAAATCCTCAGCGCCGTCCAGGTCGCCCGCGAAGGCCAAGTGCTTCGACAGATCCAGGGCATAGCGCTGTATCAGCTCCGGCTCGTCCAGCACCTTGGCTATTTGCACCGCCTTGCGCCACTGCTTGGCG